AAAAACAGAAAAATTTATGCCTTGTAGCTAGTGATTTTATAAAGGAAATTCTTTGAAATTATTCCAATAATTTAAAAAAGAATCAATATTAAGAGGGATAAAAAAAAAAAAACCCAAAAAACCTACATCAGAAACTTAGAATTTAAGATTACTATTATTAAGTGACTACACAAGTCAACAGAAACACAGCAATCAATGCAACTTCAAACAATAGAAAATATTCAGAATTATTGCAAAATTCTGAAACACCCAATTTTTTTTTTCAACACTAAATGTTAATGATATGAAGATACTTGGGAAGTGGCTATAAAGAAAAATATCAAGTAATGGAAGGAAAAGTTAATTTGTCAAGGGGAGAGAGAGAGAGAAAGAAAAGAATGCTTAGCATAAAACATGAACCCTACCTGTCTAACCAAATTTTGCACAAGTTTGTCCATTGTAAAGGCAATGTAAGCATGTATGCCAAACATCTCTCTAAGTTGGTCCTCATATTGACTAGACTCAAGGTTGCCATCCAGCAGATTTTTAACCATCTCCAGAAAATAAGGATAGTAATCATCAGGATCTAGATCACCTACAAGAAAACAAGAGAGTCAAATTTAGGAATTAGTTTAAGGGACATACACAAGTAACATAAAAACTTTGTATTTAACTTAAGTTTCAATTTTTTTATGCATTCACAAATTTAGTTTAAATAAAAAGTAGAGAAATTTATCTTTACTTAGTTCTTTAGCAACTAAAGAAACTTAAAATGGCAGATTAAAAACCCTTCTGAGACTGTCATATAGATATAAACACTATAGTTTATTCTATAGTCTTACTTTATTAGCCTACTTAATGTCTTAATATATAAAAGTACTTATTGAAATCTTAAAAGTATTTACTGAATGATGACAACATCTGCACAGATGGTTTGTAAGCAAACAGCAACCATTGTATGAAAAGCCCCAAGTTTCAAAGTCTCAAATTAAAAGCCACATTGAAGTTTGAAAATGGGTTACAAGTCTGATTTGAGGGATAAAGAGAAATATTTAATAATTTCAGAGCTTTCAAAAGATAAAAACAGAAAATTTTAATAAAATATATACACCAAACTGAAGTTCACAAAATAGCTTAGACAAAAACCAATGTAAGTCTGATAAAGTCAAGTACATGATATTAATGATATAGCGTATTAAGACAAGAATTAGAAAAAATCTATTGTCAAGCTACAAAACCTTGAGACATTGTGGCAGTGAGGAAATGCCGAAAAGCACAAGTGGCAAAACACAGTCATTGTTAGGCTTTCTTTAAAGACAAAATACATGACTGTTCTTTTCACCAATGAATACCATGCTATCATGAATAGAGTAAAATTAGGTAACTAATTCAGAAACCAACTCCACAGGTTGTAACATCAACAAGGTGGGATTGGTATGATGTTTGGGGGTGAGATTACAGGTGCTGAAGTGGTGGAACTATGGTATGTTCAAAAGCATAGATTTTGTTTTAAAAAAAAAAAACAAAACAAAAAAACATGCAGAACCATGATTAAAAAAAAAAAAAAATAAGCTAAAGAATTTCAGGAAGATTATTTTTATGTATAACAGATATTCATTACATTCAGTATAGAAAAATGAACATCTGAATAAGAAGCACTCATTGAAGTCACCAGCAGCTTCATCAGACCATAACCCAAACGAAAACCGAGTATTCTGAAGAGAAAGGTTTACAGTGAGGGATGGCAACTTACCAGATGAACACTGAAATACAACTCTGAGAGCTTTGCAGTGTTTCACATAAAAATACAACAGCTCACAAAATCAATGGATGAATGACACCTAGAACTAGTTTCAAAACACGGAGCCAATATTTCATATTAATGTTGTCTTTAGAAGTGTTGTCTTTAAAATGATATGTTTTCATTTGTAAACTTTGTGCATATTCTGTATAATTTTTAATTATATTTATTCTTAGAGATTCTATAACCTGGCTAATATATAACTTGTAAAATAGAGTAAAATTCATAAAACTGTTGCCACATAAAAGTGCATTAATAGTGCAAATGTGATAATATTTAACATGCTGTATGGACGAAAAGGGTTAAAACAAAACAATTTTAAGTTTTTGTTGGAAAGAGAATTATTTTCCCAGGATATGGGAACAGATGTATGAATTTTGTTGAAAAAGTTACACAACATGATTCAACTAGACACAGCAGGAAAGGTCGGGAGCCAGAGGTTAAAGTCGTCTGCTGAAAGGTGTCAATGGGAAATTTTAGCTGACAAAATTTCCCCGAGAAAAAATTATAATTGTGAGCAAATGTAAAGGCAGAAGATGACATCAGAAAGGCTAACATCATATGATGGCTCCTCTTGAAGGAGGAGGGGGATCTTCCAAAATTGGAAATGTGAAATAGTAAACGAAAGAAAACAACTGGTTGAATTTTGAGAGATTTGCATAAAACCCACCTATTCGCCTGCACCACACTAGTTGAAAGGGACACCCATAAATACAAGTGCCCACATGTGCCAAAGTTAGTTAGAGCCAGCCAGTTGCAGTGAGGGTGTGACCAGATGTTACATAACACTGTTTGCCAACCTAATGATAATAATATTAATTATCTGCTGAAGAAGAAAAACTCTGACGATAAACCTTGTGCCATCCGTGAAAGTACAAATCACAGTACTTGAAGATAAATCCAGTTGTCAAGTCTGGCCACTCTCCAAAGAAGCTACCCACAATTTTCATTCCGTCACCAGTTATTAGAACGGGTTGGGAAAAGAAGAAAAAGAACAAAGAAAGAACTGTAAATATTCTTTTTATTCTGATATAAACATCATATCATGACTTATTTGGGTGTCGTCCATTTTATTTTTCAATTTTGTATGCATGTGTTCAACTCCTTGGTTTAGCGTGGTTAAGATACCCCGGTGGAAATTTGGCTTGACTCTCTTAAGATCAAAATTACAACGTGGTTAAGAGAGGTCACAGTTGAAGAGGTCAACTTAGAGACCAGATGCTGACGAGTGGGCTGGCGGCCTGTTCTCTGATACCCGGATCAATGTTCTGGGGGATATACGGGAGAACTGAGGGGCTGGCTAGTGGTGGTTAACAAAAGCCAGTTAATCTATGATTGACTGAAAGAGAGATGGTGCGTGTTATGTTCGATGCTGCGACAGGAGCGCTGTCAGAGTTTATGGGCAAATTATTAGAAAGACATCCACAGTTGACATCGTGGAGGTTAGAGGAATGCTTGATAGCGGAGTATGCAGATGAGGGAACAGCAATAGAGGCCATGAGAGGCCTCATGAAACTGGTCCAGGAAAGGAATGAGGGACCAGAGGAACTGTGGAAAAGAGTGGAGAGACTAGCCTCTCTGGCTTTCCCCGAAGTAGTTAGAGAGAATGCAGCAATCCATGTCCAGCTGGCAGACCTGTATGTTGGAGCACTCCAAGATGAGCGTATTCAACACGACATGCTAAAAGTGGGTCCCATTAAGTTGGCAGCAGCGGCAGCAATGGCTAAAAAAGAGCCAGGGGTCTGGAATAAGGTTAAGAGTGGCAGGGCACAGGATTTAGGTCAAGAGGCAGATAGACAGAAGAAAGAACCCCACCCCAGGTGGAAAAGGGATAACAAACCAGGTAGCAAAAAGAATTCCCCACTGTTGGCTGGATGGGTCAAAGAAGAAGAGGAATGGGAGGAGGACCCCAGAAGAAAGGTGTGGTCCCTAAAGCACAGGCTTTATAAACCTACGCTGGGTAGATATAGCCTGGTATGTTGGAAGTGCCATTATGTGGGCCACCATACGGCAGACTGCCCCACAAAGTGGGGCTGCCCCCAGATCATGAGGAAGAAAAATGCACGAGATGTGGACGTAGGGGGCATGTGGCCAAATGGTGCAGATTGAAGAAGGAAGCCCCACTGATACAAGAGGCGAAGATGAAGCCTGGAAAGTTGAACCAGGGAAATACCAAAGGGCCACTCCAGAAATAAGAGGGTGGGTGGCCTGTATAAATAGAAGAATGTGTTGCTGGGAGTGCAGGCAGGTGGGTCATTTTGCAGTATATTGCCCAAGTATCAGTTAGAGGAAGACTGATGACGGAGAAAAAAGTGAAGAGAGGGATCATTCAATTAGTTACTGTAGAAGAGGGTAGACCTGAAGAAAATGATGTGCAAAACGGTAGTGAATGTGGCAGAAATAGTGCCCATGATGCTGGTGAATGAATCCAGCAGGACAGTTAAAGTCAAGAAAGAGGAGGAGGTAGGAAGAGCTTGCAGACCATGCAGCAAATAAGGTTAGATAAAAAAGAAAAAGAGGATTTAAAGCGGATAGAAGGTATAACAGACGAAGAAATAATGGCTCCTGAGAGGTTTATGGCCAAAGTGAGGCATCTGTTGAGAGCCAACTGTGATGTGGTGGTTAAGTCAAATAAAGAGTTGGGCCAAACTCACACCATAAAAATGAGAATTGACACAGGTGATCACCCTCCATTTAAGCTAAGGCCTTACAGAACACCTATTCATAAAAGGCCCTTAGTTGAGGAAGCAGTGAAGGATATGTCGGAGACAGGTCAGGGTCTACCTGGAGCTTCTCCATAGTGCTGGTAGATAAATAAGATGGCGGGCACAGATTTTGTGTAGATTTCAGGAAATTGAATGCCATTTCCAAACCATTAGCAGTGCTTTTGCCATTGATTGACGATATATTGGCTTTGTTGGGAAAAGCTAAGTGCTTTTCCACAATAGATCTGAGGTCGATGTATTGGCAGGTAGCCCTTGATGAGACTGATAGAGAAAAGGCTGCATTTGCATGTCACATGGTCCTGTTCCAATTCAAGGTCATGCCATTTGGCCTGGCCAATGCACCTGGGATTTTTCAGCAATTCAATAGTGCTGGAAGGAATTGAGAGTTTTGCTATGGCTTACCTGGACGATTTTCTGGTATTCTCGGAGACACCAGAACAACATTTTGACCACCTCAAACAAGTTTTTGGATGATTGAGAAGGCACAGATTGAAGTTGAAACTGTCCAAGTGCCAATTTTTAAGAAATGAAACCAAGTACCTAGGCTTTATAGTGAGTGATGAAGGAATTTTAAGCCTGACATGGATAATTAAAGGTGATAAGAGAAATGCCTGAGCCAAAGACAGTGAGACATGTACGAGGCTTTATAGGGGCCACAGGATATTACAGACGTTTTATCCCAGCATTTTCTAGGATAGCAACTCCCTTGATAGCCTTAAAAAAAGTATGCGAGATTTAAATGGACAGGAGACTGTCAAAAGACCTTCGATACCTTGAAAGAACAGCTAACTGCTGTTCCCTTGCTGACGTACCCAGATCTCAGCAAACTAATGATACTATACATGGACACTAGTGAGCGATGTATAGGAGCAGTCCTTACTCAGCCATGTTCTGATAAGGATGGTCCAGTGCCTGGCATGCCAGAGGAAGTACCGATATACTTCCTATCCCATAAGCTCTCAGAGACACAGCAGAAATGGCCAGTGATAGAAACAGAAGCATATGCTATTATGTATGCCTTCCAAAAGCTGGATTATTAAATTGTGTTTACCATAAAGACTGACCATA